ATCACGAAGAGTAAGCGGGGATGGGTCGGGGGCGTCCGGAAGCGCCCGCTCTGCTGGCGGGACCTGGAGCCCGGGACGTGCTGCTGGAGGTGTTGTGGTCCCCGGCGGTGGGTTGGAAGATGCAGGAAACACATTCCCCCGGACGTGGAAGACTTTGTGATGCATGAGCTGGGGAGTCCGAATGGCCTCTTTCTAGCCTTGGCCAGTGTCCTGTAAGCAGAGGCTTTATCCTAGAGAAGTCGCAGGGCTGGACCTTGAGTTCCTTTACTATTTCCTTCTGACCCGACTTACACCCGCTGCAGGAACCGAGAGAGGGGGTCACGGACGCAGTGTTCTCCCAGACTGTGGTTTGCGTAGTAGGTGGGAGGGGCCGGGGTGTGGCCTGCCTACCTCTGGAACTTTACCTGAAAGATTTATTCTCCTTCCCCTTAGTTTTAGCAGAGGGAGGTGGAGCCAAATTTAAGAAATATGAAGAGATTGACAACGCCCCTGAAGAGCGAGCCCGTGGAATCACGATTAATGCAGCTCACGTGGAGTATAGCACTGCAGTCCGCCACTATGCCCACACAGACTGCCCAGGTCATGCAGATTACGTTAAGGTGAGAGAATTGCTGGGTACAGGGCCAGGGAAATGTTGGACTTGTGGAGAAGTTAGGATATTCAAGGTGCATGCGTTGAGGTCATGGATTTCTGGGCTTGACCACTCCAAGTGGGTGGTAAGGAGATGGCCGAGAAAGATGGGCCTCAGCTGCTGTGCTTGGCTAGATGGATGTGGAGCTGAGGAGCTCCTTAAACTAGGCTGTTTTCTGTCCTGCCTAGAATATGATCACAGGCACCGCCCCCCTCGATGGCTGCATCCTGGTGGTGGCGGCCAATGATGGCCCTATGCCCCAGACCCGAGAGCATCTATTACTGGCCAAACAGGTACTCAGAGCCCAGGGAGGGGTGGAAAGAGGAAGAGTGGGGAGTTGGTCCATTGAGGACACCACTTCTTCCTCCTTGCCATCCACAGATTGGAGTAGAGCATGTTGTGGTGTATGTGAACAAGGCAGATGCTGTCCAGGACTCTGAGATGGTGGAGCTGGTTGAGCTGGAGATCCGGGAACTGCTCACTGAGTTTGGCTACAAAGGGGAGGAGACCCCGGTCATCGTAGGCTCTGCCCTCTGTGCCCTTGAGGTGAAGGCGGGGTCACACAGGGGCTGTTACTGGCAGAGGATGGGCTGGATGGGCATCCAGAGTTATGCTCCAAGCCTGGGGAGTGTCTTTTAGTAAGAGGAGCAGAATGAAAATTTCAGAGTCCTGTCACTCCCCCATAGCAACGTGACCCTGAGCTAGGCGTGAAGTCTGTGCAGAAGCTGCTGGATGCCGTGGACACTTATATCCCAGTACCTACCCGAGACCTGGAGAAGCCTTTTCTGCTGCCTGTAGAGTCCATTTACTCAATTCCTGGTGAGGACCGTGTTCACTTGCACCCCTCTTTAGCTATATAGCCTGACCCAGTGTCCCTCATGTCCTTCTTGTCCTTTTTTCCAGGCCGGGGCACAGTGGTGACAGGTACACTAGAGCGTGGCATTTTGAAGAAGGGAGATGAGTGTGAGTTCCTGGGACATAGCAAGAACATTCGGTCTGTGGTGACAGGTATAGAAAAGATGCTTTGGGACCCAGGGGCTGGCTTCAGGATTTCCCTTTGCAGACCCTTCGCGCCTTCCCTCTGCCCTACACCCTCCTCCCTTGTCTCTCCTCCTTCCTCCTAGGCATTGAGATGTTCCACAAGAGTCTGGAGAGGGCAGAGGCGGGCGACAACCTTGGAGCCCTGGTCCGAGGCTTGAAGCGAGAGGACCTAAGGCGTGGCCTGGTCATGGCCAAGCCCGGGTCCATCCAGCCCCACCAGAAGGTGGAGGCACAGGTGAGGGCTCCAGGTGATGGGCAGCGCTGAGCCAGACTGTTGGGTGCAGAGGCAGCGTTCCCAGCCGGGCACGGTTTCACCCTTGTTGCTCTCTTCCAGGTTTATATCCTCAGCAAGGAGGAGGGTGGCCGCCACAAGCCTTTTGTGTCCCACTTCATGCCTGTCATGTTCTCCCTGACTTGGGACATGGCCTGTCGTGTCATCTTGCCACCAGGGAAGGTATGGTGGGTACAGGGAACGTGAAGGAGTGGAAGAGACCCTCTTTGTATCAGCTCTCCCTCACACCTAATTACAAAGATGTGACGACGCGGGTGACTTTTCGTTGACTGGTGCAGATGAAGCTAGTGATGGAAAGGTCTGGCTGGGTGGGTTTGGGGGAGTGAGTCTCCACCTAGTATTCCCGGGGCTGAAGTAGGTAAAAAACTTCACCCATGTTAGTGTTTACCCGCAGAAAGATTTCCCAGAAAAGGATTCTCCCAGTTGAGAGTTGCATCGAACACGGTGGCTCAGGGAAGTTTTGTGACTAAGAAAACTGCATGACCCATGGGTTCCTTGACTTTGTTTTCAAGAGTGAGCATCAGGAATGCCGGTCACAAGTTCTTTCCTGTCTTCACATAGACTGTTTGCATCTGTCTGGCAGCTGGGATCTCCAGAAAGCATCTCCCTGTTGCATTTCCCGTAACTTAAAAAAAGTTTTTTAATTCAAATTCAGTTTAGTTAACATTCATTCCCTAACTTTGAACCTTGGTAGGCAGCAAACAGTTGGAAAGAAGGTGCCCCGAGGGCCGTGCATGAACCCTCTCTTTGTCCCCACCAGGAGCTTGCCATGCCTGGGGAGGACCTGAAGGTCAGCCTTATCTTGCGGCAGCCCATGATCTTAGAAAAAGGCCAGCGTTTCACCCTGCGAGATGGCAACCGGACCATTGGCACTGGCCTTGTCACCGAGACGCCGGCTATGACCGAGGAAGACAAGAACCTGAAGTGGAGTTGAGTCTGGACTCTACTCAGACTCTGCTATTGAAGGCTGCACTGGCTGGCGTTGTCGCTGCTACTGCTGCTGCCCCCTCCCCAGGGCACGGGCTGCAGCCCAGCCGAGCGCTAGACTGACCCTTCCCCTGGCCAGAAGGGGCCCCGGGGCCTGCCGGGTGAGGTAGGTCAATAAACTGTTCTGTGAATAGTGAGGGATGTTGTGTCTTGTGTCCTTTGTCTAAGCTGGAGAGGATGGGGGTAGAAACATGGAGCATAGGACACATCCCTCTGTTTCTCTGTGATACCGTTTGGAAAAGCTCCTGTCTTAAAGTAGTCAGAACTGCTATGACAACTTGAGGAAAGCTGGTCTAGTGAAGTGGGTGTGGCTGCCTCACGAAACACTGGTTGGACCGTTGGCTGTCCTGGGGGAGAAACTGGGGACCTCTCCCTCAGAGCAAGCATGGGTTCCGCTGCGATGCCAAACCCACCTCCTGTCCTCAGTGGTTTGGAAGCCTGTCCATGCCCACCTCTCCTTGTCTTAGGCTCTAGGATACTGGGAACTGTGTCTCACCTCTAGAACCAACAGCCAACACTTTGTGAGGACCCAGGTTTTAATAAGTCAGTCTCTGGGCTCCATGGTGATTCCAAACACGAGAGCAAGAAGTTACAAACTGAAGTATGCATTTTGAACACATACTGAGACTTAAAATTAAGGACTGTATCAAATGTGTAGGGAGTAAAATGCTGAGTAGGTGTTTTAAAAACTCGAACTTGACTGGCCAGGACGCTGACCCCAAACAAAAAGGTGAACTTTTAGCAGGGATTAACAAGCACCCCTTTCAACCTCACTTCCTAATAAATGAGCACATTCAGCACTGACCAGCGACCCAGAGCAGGAAGGCTCTTAGGCCCGACCGGAAAGCTGTTGAGTCAGTCAAGTCTGTGGCTTCACAGCAGAGGCAGGAAAGTGGGCTCAAGAAAGGGACAAGAGAGCTTCACAAATAAGAACTGTCCAGCAATAGGGCAGGTTTGCTTTACTCTCCTTAGCGTCTGAGGCGAGGCCAGGTTTTGAGAGATTCCTAAGACCCTCCCCTGAGCCTCAGGACCAGGTCTCAGGAGACCGGTCTCCACCTGCACCTGACACATCCTGAGCCCGGCTGGCTTCCCCGCTGCTGCTTTCTCCATCACTGTCCCCCGGATCCAGCTGCCATCCTCTAGGAGAGCTCCACAACCCTGCACGCCTGTTCTCGATTACCAGTGCATAAGCTGCCCCCACCACCACAGCATACCCACCCATTACCAGGTCTTAAACCCTCACCCCTTGGATCTCTTCCCAAGTCTGTGTAACCTTCACTTTTCCTGCCCTATGTCTACCCATTTTCTTTGGCTTTAGTCCCAGCTGAAACATCCCCACCTAACCGCGAGTATCAGCCCCATCCTCTCGATGCCCTAAGGGCGAAATGACCTTCACTTAGGACATGCAGTAAAAACTGCAACCGGTTTCCTTGGAAATAACCAAACACTTCTGTAATGTGTCGTTTCTACATCTCACACCTGGCACTTCTGTGCCATTTAGCCCCTGGTTTAGCTCTTGCTCCCCTAAACCAGGCTCAGCCCAAAGGTCTCCCCTCTGCCAGTAGCTTAGTCTGCAGCGCCCACCTGCACACAACACCTCAGCTGTGCTCTGTGCAGGCCTTTGTTTCCAGGGGCCAAAACCACTAAGGAGCTTCTTGGTGCAGGGAGGTAGAAGAAATTCATAAAGTACTTATACTAGCAATAAAAACCTGAAACTGCACCTGAAGACGAGACCAGCAGCAAGGTGAGAGCAAAGTTCCCGGGAAGCTGGGGGCGTGTGGCAGGGACAGGGCACAAGCACCCTCAGGCTGACCGCTGGGCTTCCCTGCTGTCGGGAGCCACCCCAGGCCTCCTAACACCTGACAGCTACCATCTTACTCGGTTCTCCAGAGGAAGCCAGAGTCAGGTTAAGTTAGTTTAAAATTTTATTTTTTTTAACTTTTTTTTTTTTAATATTTTTATGTAATAAAAAGTAAAAGTCCTTGTCCAACCATCCTTGTGGGGCATCTGTCTGTCTCTCACGCAGGTCACTCAAGTTAATGGGGAAGAAAGAAACAGGGGGCCCAAGTCTGAGGTTATAAATAATAGAAAATAAAAGATCTTCCATCTCCAGCGGGGGATAGATGAGAGGATGGGAGGGCAAGATGGGGTGGGGATGGGCAGGGGCAGAGCAGGAACCCCCCACCCCCGCTGGACCCTGGCCCTGCCCACTCTGAGGCCCCTCCCCTTCAAGGTGCTTGGCAGGAATTCCCCAGCTCCCCCGGGGGGGAAAGGGGGGATTGGGGGGCTGGGACTGGTCCGAGCTGCTGGGGGAAGAGACATAGATCACTCTTCCCTCCACTCATGGAGGTCTCAGGTCGCGGCCAGGACAATCTTCAGTTCCCCGGGGGGTGGAAGGGGAGCTGCTGGGAGGGATGAGATTGAACTGGTTGGAGGGGAAAGAGAAGAGAGCAGGAGCATTAGAACCCAAGCAGCTGTCCCTTCATCCAATGCCGTCCAGTGTGGGGTGTGGGGGAGTGTTTGGGTAGGAGCGGCCTCCTCAAGGTGTCTCATGGGGCTGTCAGAAGCACAGATCAATCTCTGTTTCCCAGTGAGCCAGAGCCCTTACTCGTGTGCCCAGCTCAGCCCCCCACACCCCAGCCTGGCCCTGTCTGCTGCGCTGACCTTACCTCGGCTAAGTCAGGAGACAGTCGGGGTCACTGAGAGCTGGGGAGGCAGTGGGGAGGGGGGCTGCTGGATCACAACTGAGCGAGGACGGAGGGAAGCAAAGGACAGAGCCAGGAGCAAGCCCCTGGCGGCGGCGACTGTGGCTTCTGCCCACCCTACATACTTCACAGACAGGTGCAGGTCGGCGGGCGCCCTGTGGGACAGCCCTGCCTCCAAGACCCCTCACTCCCCTCCCAGAACCCGTGCATCCTGCCCCACCTGCAGCCCATCAGCTCTTCCATGCCAAATTCCCCCAGCTAACGAGAACTCACGAATCCTGTCATCGGCTCCTCCTGGAAATCCAGGCGCCTGGCCAGGCTGCTCACCTTGGGGGTGTCCGATGTAGGGGTAGGGTGAGGGTGTGGAAGCTGAGAGTGCAGGCACCCCACTCTGGGGCACCGCGCCTTGGGGGGGGCCCCCATGGCTCTGGGGTGGGTGCAGCAGCATCACCTGGGGCGGGTGGGGAGCCCCAGGGTGAGGGGGCGGGGCTGCTGTGATTCCAGTTTGGACATGGGCCTGCAAAGAACAAAAGACAACCGTGAGCACCCCAGAAGCTAGATGTGGGCTCTGAGAATCCTGGTGTTAAGAGCACTCAGAAAGGAGCACCAAGAATTCAGAAACAGGACAGCCCCAGAAAGCAGATCCCTTGGGTTCTTACCTGGGTAACATGGGCCATGTTGGTGAAGCCGTGGGGCAGCTGCTGGTGGGCATGGATGGCATACACAGCGGCTGGCTGGGGGAAGCTGCTCTGAGGGGACTGGGCAGAAGGTCCCGGTGGCAGAGAAGGCGGCGTGCCTGTCAGGGCCCCTGGGTGGTACAGATTCTGCTGTGGCTGTCCACTGCCCAGGTGTGGGGCCTGCCCCGCCTGGTGCTGTCAGGGGGAGGGGAAGGGTGAGTGCCACCCCAGTCCTCAGGTACCAGGCCTACCACCCACTGACCCCTGATCCTCTTCCACTGGGGAATGACCCCTCCAACTCTATCCCCCTCTTCCAGCCACCCGTTCCTGCCCCAACCACTCAGATCTCCCATGGCAGGCACCTGGACGGGACTGGGGGCCGCATGCTGGGACTGCGGCTGGCTCCCAGTAGGCGTGGTGGCCGGCTGCGGCTGGTGGGCATGGAGCTGCGTGGCATGGTGTGGATAGGACTGGTGAACAGTGGCTACAGCAGGAAAGAGGGACAATCAGTGCTAAGCACACCAGACGGGGCTAAGGAGCAAGGTCCAAGGAGAAGGACACAGAACTCACCATAGAGGGCTTGGGGGGTGGGCTGCTCTGCAGAAGGGTACTGAGGGGTGGAGGACGACACGATGGCCTGGGGATGGCTCCCCGACGTCAGCATGCGTGGGTTGCTCTGAAGCATGGGGGCAAACACCGGCTGGAGGGGCAAGGAGAGAGGTGGTCGGACATCTGCTGCCTGAGAACCCGTGCACAGCACCGTTCTGTCCTGTCACAACCACCTGGTCTCCCGTTCACGACGACCCCAGCCAGGGGATGCTATGTGATCTATACTTCAGAGGATAGCGGTGCCTTGCTATGGGTCCTACCAGAGCCAGGAAAGAAGCATGAGTCTGGGTGATGAACACAGGTGACCCTCCGCTCTGTCCTCCCGCCCCCAACACCATCCTCCGCATCACGTACCTGCGAGGGGTAGTGGGCCATGGGCTGCATCATGGCGGGCTGGCCTGGGAACTGCTGCGGGGTGTAAGGGATGTAGGAAGAGTACGGCGTGGCAGCCACCAGAGGTGGGCCGGCCGCGGCAGCGGCCTGCATCATCGGAGGGGCTGAGGCTGGCTGGTGCTGGTCTGAGCGCTGCGGGGGCAGGGAGCCTGGCGTGGAAGGGGAGAAAGGACCGAGCTCAAGCTCCATCTGCCAGGACGCAACCATGCAGCTCTGCTGACCAGCCCTGCCGACTCTGCTCACCTTTTGCTCCCCGGTATTTGCCCTGCTGTCCAGGCACAGAATTGGATACAGGGTACGGATACATCTGAGGGGCCTAGGGATGAGAACACAGATGAAGCTGAACAGCTAGCTCACGAAGAACCTGACAGGCCTGACCTGGTCCTCAGCCGCTCCGCCCAGCCTCAGCCTGAAGCTGCTCAGCCCCTCCTCTCACCTGAACAGCTGGTCCCATGTGGATCTGAGGTATGTAGGAAATGTACTGGGGACTGTAGAGCCCACTCTGGCCTGCTGTCAGCACCGGGATGGAGGGAGTAGAATGAGTCCGGGGCCCCGGAGAAGTGGGGGTACTGGTGGATTTATTCTGTAAGAGACAAGGCGGGGACACGCAAGTTTGCTTTCTGTACGCCTCTCCTGTGCCTCTGAGAGCAACACAGCGGAGTGCTGCCTGCCAGACACGTTCTACCCGGCATCTTGGTTAAGCCTTGACTGGAGTCCCTGGGACAGGTACTCACAAATTTTAGGTAAGAAAACCAAGACAGAAAAGTTAAATGGCTTGACCGTGATCAGCAAACTTTTTTAAAGTACAGGAGTTCAAGCCAAATCAGGGGCCTGAATGAATCCCATGCTCACAACTACCCCAACATATGTTCCCCAAGCTGAATGCTAAACCTCAGGGAGAAACAGGTAACACTTAACAGACACATTATGACCCCTCACCCCCAAGTGACACCTGTTCTCCCCAGAGCGGGCCAACAGCCAGAGCGCCTCCCCTGTGCTGTCACCCCACTTCCAAGCCTCCCTCAGGGAAACCAATCCTCATCTGCCCATCCCGTCTCACCACAGATAGCAGAGGCTTTGTGGGATTGAACTCCTTGGCATTGGGGTTCAGTGTTGACTTCTTCACTTGTCTAAGAGAGAAAAAGAAAAGTCAGTCCTTGTGGCTTGCTCCTCTCCCCACCTGACACCCACCCAGCTCCCCACCCTACTCACTCAGCGACCGGGCCCTCATCCTTGTCGTCGCCCTTGACGAGGCCCACCGGGGGGCTGCCAGTTTGGCTTGGGCAAGGTGGCGGGGGCTGCTCTGGGCCCTCCGTGCCTCCCGCCAGCGGCAGTGCTGGCTTGTCCTCCTTATCTGATACGGACTCTGTTTTCGAGGAGACTGGGGACCCCACTGGCTCTGAAGTCAATAGACCATCAACCTCCTTCTCTTTTCCTTTGGCCTCCTCCTTTAAGATCCGGGGAGGAAAAGGATCCAGGCTGGTCTCAGAGGCGCTACTGGACTGCAGCTGGAAGGAGAGCGGCACACATACAGTCCCCAAACAGTCCGGACCCCAGGCTTGGCCTCCCTTCTTGCATCCGTGCTCGCTCCTCTCTTCAAACTCACCTGGTCCCAGTCCTGCGCTGCTTCTCTAAGCTCCCTCACCCCTCTTCATCCTAACACCCTAGCTCACTCCCACACTCCCCTCACCTTAAACTGGGCCCCAAATTTCCTCAGTTCTTCCAGTTGAAAGCGTTTCTGTTCATTCTGAAGGCCAGGAACTATAAGAAACAGGGAAAAAAGGAGGAAACACACTTTTCTTAAAGGTGGCTACAATGCCAGTACCCCAAATGACAAAGGGGGAGAAAAAAAGCTCTTAAGAATCCTATAGAACTAAAATTACACAACTGACAAGGCACTGTTTCTGAACCCCCACAATTCTTATTACTAATTAAACTGGTCCCCTCATCAAAAGGACATCACACCTCAGAAAAACAAAAACAAAAGAAAGGGGATGCCTGGTTGGTTCAGTCAGTTAACCATCTGCTTTCGGCTCAGGTCATGATTTCGGGGTCCTGGGATCGAGTGCCCGTTGGGCTCCCTGCTTAGCTAGCAGGGAACCTCCTTCTCTCTTTTCCCCTGCTGTTCCCCATTTGTACCCACTCTGTCAAATAAATAAAATCTTAAATAAAGCAACAAAAAACCAACACCACCACCCCCACCACCCCAACCAATTCTCACCTTTCCCAGCTATCCGGGACAGCTCCTGGGACTCCAGAGTTCTCCCAGGTTCCTTGGCTGGAAGTTCTTTTACTGAGCAAGAAGAGACATATGCCTGAAGGTCCTTCTGTCCAGAACCACACTTCATATTGTCCACAAGCCCTCAACTACCTGGCTCTTACCATCTGTGGGGGCCAATGAGATCTTTGGAGAAGCAGGGGAAATGGAGCCTACTCCAGGATCCACAACCGATGATGTCACAGGGATGGAAGCTGAAGAGGTCGGTACTGCTGAGCCCATGGGGGCATCAGGACAGGAAGCTGAGATTGGGGCAGGAGCAGCCGACTTGGGAGAGCGCGGGGGGGTACATCCGGCCCACTGGAAGAAAAGGGAAAGCTGTACAATGGTTACTGCTGTTCGGTGAGTAAGAGGCATAGGGAACCTACCAGAAAGACCGAGGAAAAGTTTATCCCCTTTCTTATATGCAAGGTCACAAACCTACATGCCCGAAAGAGCAAAAGAGGTAACATGAGCGGGTAAGATACATTCACGGGCAGCATAAAAGACTGGAATGTTTACAGAGGCCCTCACAACATAGTCCAGCAAACTAGTGTTATGCTGCAAGACACACTCGGTGTTTGCAGAACTTTCTCTATTTCCAAAGAAACTGGGAATTTTCTATGCCTCCTGTTTCAAAATGTTGACAACTAAAAAGTTGCTCGTTATTATTTTTTTTTTGAAGTAAGCTCTGTGCCCAATGTGGGGCTTGAACTCATGACCCTAAGATCTAGAGTCGCCTGCTCCACTGACTGAGCCCACCAGGCACCCTGATTACTAATAAACAAAAGACATGCGCCAGCCAAACACAACCCATGGACAGCTGCGCCGGCATTGCTACATTGAGGGAAACAAATTCTTCCCTAAAAAGCATAAATCCAACCTCCCCCCAAACATCTCTTTTATTTTAAAACTGTCTCCCAACCCAGCATTCCAACAACTGACATTTACAGCTCCCCACGAATTTCTATTTCTTCATATAACACTGCTGGAATTTTACCTGCAGGAGGAGGTGCAACAGAAGCTTCTCCAGAAGTCCTACTGCTGGGTGAAGACAGAGTCTTGGCACCACCTCTCAGGGGCCGCTGTGCCTTAGGGGACATGCGGGAAGGGCCTATTTTTTTTTTTTTTTTTTAAGATGGGAAAAAAGAGGCAGAGTATCTGCTATTACATTATCACCAACGCATCACCCTTCCAGACCACCCATCCTTTCAATTATCCTTCCTGCTTCCTTCCTATCCTCTTCCCTACCCCCCAACAAAAGCCCGCTTCAGAACTCACCTCCATTGATACCACGTGTCTCAGAACCCGGGCCGGGGCTGCTACTGTCAAGGTGGTGAGGGCCACGAGGTGGCAAAGAGCTAAGGCCAGGCCGGCCACCCCGGGAACTACTGCATCGAACTCCTCCCCGGGGACCTTCCCGAACTCGCTGGGGTAGAGGGATGTACTTTCCCTCCCTAGGGGGAGAGTTCAAGTAAGGTCAATTAGTCATAAAACCCACACATTTTGGAAAAATGAAGCCTTTCCTTCTAAAGTGCATGTACATGCACACACAGGCACGCACACGCACGGGCGCGTGCACACACACACACGCTCCAGCTCTCTGCACTATCCCCACATTAAGATCTATTCTGGTTAATGTTCTGTAGTTAGAGGCTTATGACCTTTCGTGTCAACCCTGACCTGACCAACCTGGTCAAAGGTTTACAATTCTACCACTCCTCACCTACGAGAGGAGAAGTATCACGTTGTAGTTCAAGGCATAGCTTTTACGTGTCACTAAATAGTGGGTATGCTTTTTGGTTTTCTTTGGTTTCTTAAAAAAGATTTTATTTATTTGACAGAGATCACAAGTAGGCAGAGAGACAGGTAGAGAGAGGAGGAAGCAGGCTTCCCACCAAGCAGAGAGCCTGATGCGGGACTCGATCCCAGGACCCTGGGATCATGACCTGAGTGGAAGGCAGAGGCTTTAACCCACTGAGCCACCCAGGGCCCCTAATTTTGTTTTTATAAACAGAGAAATGAAGGCATACTTATGGATGAATATACAGAAGAAAAAAAGACTATCAAAACTCAAAAAAACTTTTTTCTACCAAAAGCTTTAGCTTTGTTACCTTGGACAAACTACTTATCTGCTCTAAGCTTCAGTTCTTAAACCTGAAAATTGGGAATAACTCTGTGCCAACCTACATTTACATGGCCGTGAAGGTTAAACAGGAGTGTACAAGGCTCTTGGCCCAAGCCCTGGCCTGTACAGAGCCCCAGACAGAGCAGGCCGCCCCCAGCAATCACCTAGATGCCAAGCTGGGGCTCTCCCGTCCTGAACCCTGCCGCTGCACTGCACTGTGCTTCTCCTCCTCTGTCCGCCCATCATCGTTCTCCATGGCGATCCGCAGGCGGTACTGGGGGCTCGATTCAATCTCTCGAGCCAACTGGGCTGCACGCAGCTCCCGCTGACGAAACTCTTCTGAGTTGTCCTTCTCCAAGGGCACCCTGAAAGGACCACCACAGACCACCACCCCAGTGCCAGGGGACAAGAAAAAGGAGAAACATCTTTGAGTCCCATCAGCAGCGCAGGTGTGCAAATGTTTAGCCTCTTCAACAACTCAGCGTGCATTTAACGGGCAATCTACGAGGTCTCACGTCGGGCAACAAGGCCAATCTCTGAACCAGGTTACTTACACTCATATGTAAGTATGTTTTAAGTTCTAGAGGAAAAGAATGGGTGAATGGACGAGAAAGCAGCTAATTCTACCCATGAGATGGCCTGGTATTTTGAGGGGACAATGACGAAGGCAGACCAGAAGTGGGGAGAGGGCAACCTGGACACCCAGAAAAGCATGAACACATGCCACGACCCCATGCCTCAAATTACACCATCTGGGAAGTACCAAGAAACTCACGTGTAAGAAGAAAGACTGCTGTCATAGGTGGTCTTCACACCATAGTTCTCCTCGTTGAACTTGAACATTTCGTTGGGGTCCCATCCATTGGACTAAGGAGGGAGGAAGGAGAATGTTTTAAAACGCAGTAAGGAAAGCAGCAATGACCCGTCATTCTCCTCCACAAGGCTGAAAAACACACAAATCTGACCAAACCCAGAGTGGAAAAATAAGAACAAGGGTGGCAGAAATATAAACTAGTACTTCCAATTGTAGTACAGACTGGCAACCACTAGTAAAACCAAAGTCTTAAGACCTAATGAGTCCATTTCCAGGTTTATGTCCTAGAAAATTTTGGCATATATTATATATTACATAAGTCTATTATTATATATTATATATTATACATATATTATACTATGGGGACATAGTCTAAAGTTCAGTAAGGCACTATTTTTAATAGCAAAATAATGGTAACAAATACCTATCAATAAGGAAAAGGATAAATACGTTTTACTGTTATTTATAAACCCACATATATATATATAAGTAGAACCAGACAAAACAGGTGAAAGCAATGACTGGATCTATATACCAATATTTAAAAAAAAAAATCGAAAACAAGAATCAGGGAAGGTAAATTCTTTTTTGGGGGGAAAGTAAATTCTTGTGCAAGTTAAATATACCACAATAATGCATTAACTCATGAGAAATCTTAAATGTTTCAAAGTCCTTGTTTTGGGAAGGACATGGGTCTATTACACAGCCCCCAATCTTGTCTGTGCTTTGTTAAATCGAAGGGGAAAAAAACCTTGAAGCAAATGTTAACAGCTGTCAATTGCAGATGGTGGGAGAACAGGTATTTTTGTTTTGTTCTTTTCTACAGCTTTTCATTTGGAATCTGACAGCCATCAACAGGCCATAGTAAAAAATCCTTTTCCCCGCTCCCCAGAAGCAACTCTTGGTTCCAAGAGTGACATCACAGTCAACGACCTGCACTGGGGCAGCAGCATGCCCGGCTCTCAGAGAAGGGGGGCCGTACCATGTCAGACTCCAGGTCATAGTCATCGCTGTTGCTGTCGCCCCCTTCCCAGCGCTGAAGCACCTTCTCTTTGTGTTCCCCATTCACCTTCGAGTTCATGGCAATGGCTGAATCAGTGAATTTATCTGTGGGGGTGGAGTCGAAGATCAGGAGTCAGGGGATTATTCCACAACCTCTTCCAACACCCCTACCCCCAGTAAGTAGTTGGGAAACAAAGGAAAATGTGCGTCAGGGTTGGGGGAGAGATAGGGTGTGCGTGGTACAGCACAAGAAGCCTCATCTTAACAGTGCAAGAGGACCAGGGTGCCTGGGTGGCTCAGTTGGTTAAGTGACTGCTTTCAGCTCGGATCATGATCCCAGAGTCCTGGGATCAAGTCCCAGAGTCCTGGGATCAAGTCCCAGGCTTGGGCAGGGAGCCCAAAGCATTGGGCTCCCTGCTCCATGGGGAGTTTGCTTCTCCCTAACCTCCTCCCCCTCTCATGCTCTCTCTCACGTAAATAAATAAAATCTTAAAAAAAAAAAAAAAAAAAAAAAAGAGTTCAAAAGGACTATGGAGTTGAAAGCAAAGCAACGGAAACATGAAGGACCACAACACAGGCAGGAATACACCCCACTGTATCTTAGACATCAAGACATATTCTCAAGAAGAAAAACCTAGGTGTGGGTGGCTCAGTCGGTAAAGTGTCTGCCTTCAGCTCAGGTCATGTTATCAGGGTCCTGGTACTGAGTCCCAAATCGGGCTCCCTGCTCAGCAGGGAGTCTGGTTCTCCCTCTACCCCTCCCCTTGCTCGTATGATTTAATGCTCTTGTTCTCTCAAAAAAAAAAAAAAAAAAAAAAAGAAAGAAAGAAAGAAAGAAAGAAAAGAAAAACATAGCCCTCCTCCTCAGAAAAAAAAGATGGTAAAGGGGAAAGAAAAAAATTCAAGTCATTATGTAACTGCTCTCTGCCCTCTAGTCTGACATGAAGACCCAATACAATCAATACCTTTAGTAGCATAATTGAAGTCAACATTTCGGAAGTGGACAAGCATGACATCGCTTGGCTTAAACACCATGGTGTCCACAATGTCTTCCCGACGAGGGCCACCTGCTGGCTCAGATGCTTTCCTGTGTACAGCGTCTACTGCTAATTCAAACTAAAGAAGTCCCATTTCCAAATAGTAAAGAGTCAGTATCAAGAAATGTGATGGTAAAAATAGGACTATTTTTCTTTTACCCTTTTTAACCTCATCCCAACACCACAATGTCACACAGTCTTCTCAGTATCAGCCTAGGAATAAGTATTTTAATGTTCAAGTATTCAGCCTTCCAATTCCAACCCACATTTCTTATTGCTTCTAGCACTATTCTGAGACAGGCCTAGAGAAATGAGTAACACAATGTTGTCCAACACCATTCAACGCACATCTCCAATTAGCCTATTTCATTCTCCTCCTCCTTTCATGAAATTCCAAAAATCAGCTAATTTGAGTACACTAACCTTTGAGCTCAGAGTCTTGAAGATACCTTCATAGGTGGTACCATTCTTCACCTTTACATCACAGGTAGAGCCCTGAAAGAATGGTGAAAAAGAAGAGTCTCCAGCAAACTGGTGCATTACATTCCACAAACAAACTAGGGGTTAGATACCCACTTACCACAACAGCTGTAAGAAAATGCAGCATTCTGGAATTGTTGTAGACACCCTCGAACACCTACCAACAACAAAGAATTCAACAGCCAGTCAACAGATCACCCTCCTTCTGAATACCCACACTCCACTCACCCACTCTGCATGTGCTGGGTCCCTACTCTTCTAAGCTCAACTGACTATTTGTGCACATGATCTGTCCTATATGCCCAAATGGACCTCTGTGCTTTGAGGGTGGAGAGTGGCACTCACCGGTGACTGTGGGGGTCCCTTTCCTGTGCTCTGTCCCCTATGAGAAAGAAAACAAGAAACTAGTTAAACATATTTTTAAAAAAGATTTTATTTATTTATTTGACAGAAATCACAAGTAGGTAGAGAGGCAGGCAGAGGGGGCAGGCTTGCCGCTGAGCAGAGAGCTCGATGTAGGGCCCGATCCCAGGACCCTAGGGCTATGACCTGAGCCGAAGGCAGAAGCTTTAACCCACTGAGCCACCCAGGCGCCCCAGTTAAACACATTCTATCCCTCTTAAACACAGTTCATTTCAAAGAACTTGGTATTCTAGAACCACATACCCTGTGAAGATGGCTGATTTAGACTACAAACCAATTATCGACAAGATTTTCAAACTCTCACCTTACAGAAGAAGAGAGGTATAGACCGTAAAAGCCAATGAACACATTTCCACCAAACGCTACTAAAACAGACCTCAATCGGGGCGCCTGGGTGGCTCAGTGGGTTAAAGCCTCTGCCTTCGGCTCGGGTCATGATCTCAGGGTTCTGGGATCGAGCCCCACATCGGGCTCTCTGCTGAGCAGGGAGCCTGTTTCCTCCTCTCTCTCTCTCTCTCTGCCTGCCTCTCTGCCTGCTTGTGATTTCTCTCTGTGTGTCAAATAAATAAAATCTTAAAAAAAAAAAAAAAAAACAACAGACCTCAATCAACAATGGTTGTCAATTCGACACAACCTTCTCACTTTCTCCAAGGGGCCAGGGCCCCATGCTTCCAAGAAAGCAACGCTACAGTAGTCGTTAGCCAACAAACCACCCTAGACATAAAGGCGAAAGCTCAGGGAACGCAGATTCGGAACCACGTAGCTTAGGCACATTACCTCTCAAACAGAAAAGACAATCATTTTCACCAGCCTTACGCCCCAAACTCTGGGAGGAGGGTACTCCCTTTACAACCCACCCTCTCGACCTTTTTTAATCATTCAATGCTACCCACTCCAGGAGGGGTCACCGATCGCCCGGTACCCAGCTCCTCGCTGGCTGATGTAACCGTCGGCTGAGGAGGGCGATGAGGGGGCCGTTGGCGGGGCTGGGGTACAGCGCAGCCGCAAAAGCCATCCACCGGGAGGCCTCGCCCGGTCTGCGCCTGCGCAGTAAAGCCCACGGGCCTCCAAATCCCCCCTCCCGCGACCAGAACCCACTGCGCCTGCGTGTACCGCCACTCTCAATTCCATTAAGCCACACACAGAAGAAACCGAGCAGGGTGTCCACCACTCATCCACAAACACCAGGCGAGCCCCTCCACGAACATTCCCAAACCCTGCCCTATAGGTTACCCGCGGCTCACGAATGCCCGGGTCATAAGACAGAGCATCCGCGCGCACGTACGGGAAGAGCGCGCGCGCTAGAGGTTCCCTGCCCGCAGTCCTCCCAGTTGTCCCTCCTTCCGTCCCCCCCGCCCACCCCGCTCCCCTCCTACTGGCCAGACCGGGAAGGAGGAGGTAGCAACCCGCTCCCAAGTCCCTCCCTCCCCATTGGCCAAACTGTGGGCCGCGCGCCCCCCTCCATTGGCTACGGCCGGGGACCCCTTCCCGCAGCTGACTCCCCATTGGCTGAAGCCGGGGACCGCGAGACCCTTCGTGGTAATGGAGCCGGGGACCCCGATCCTCTTCGCCCCCCCAACTCCTCGTTCTGACGGCCCTGGCTGGATGCGCCCCGCCTGCCCTTAAGGCCGGAGCCCCAAGGCCCAACTAGGCTCTGAGAGCTGAGCACGGCCCCCAAATGTCCCGGTGGCAGCCCAGGGACCCTTTCCCTCTGACCTGTTAGGACCTGAGGGGACCCAGCCCCAGCCTCACGGGAGTTCCCCACTCCTCCCGGCGCCCCGCAAAGGTGGCCGGGCTAGGTTCCCGCCTCGCGCGGTGTCCAGGTCCCGGCCGCTGGGCCGGAGCCGAGCCGAGCCGCCCCGCAGCCTCGGCTCCAGCGCCCGGAAACCCACCCCTCCTCACCTGGCGCTGCCGATAGCCGTTGCCCCCGGCCTCTCCTGATGCTGTTGCTGCGGCGGGGGCTGCGGCGCCAAGATGCCCTCGGCTCCCCGGCGGAGCCCACTCCCGGCGGCGGCTGCAGGCCCCAGGCAGGGAGAAGCGGCCGCGGGAGGCCCTGCGGGAGCCGAGGTGGAGGCCAGGGGCCCCGGGAGGCCGCCGTTGGGAGGGCTAGTGCCCCCGGGAGGCCGGCGGGCCACGGCCTGTTGCGTGGGGGGCGGCTGCTGGGGCTGGGAGGTCTGTTGTGGCGGCTGAGGCTTCAACATGATGGCAGCGTCCGGAAGGGGAATTAGGGGGAAGGGAGGGAGAGAGGAGGCCGGGGCTAGGCCCCCGCTGGAGAGCGCGGGAAGCGAGGGGGCTTGGGAAGCCGGGGACCCGCCGTTGGCGGGCGGGGGAGCCCCGCGATGTCGGGGGTGGATAGAGAAGACCGCGGCGCGAGGAAGCGCCGCGAGGCGGAAGGGGAGGGGGTCTCGCGGGCCAGAGGAAAGCGAGAGGGCGCGAGCCGGCCTGGCGCGCGTGCGCGTCGCCGGGGAAAGGGGAGGAGGAGCGCGCGGGCGGGAGCTCCCGAAGGGGGAGGGGCAGGGAGGAGGGAGCGGCGGCGCGAGATGTCCGCGCGCACCGGGGCGGTTGGCTCCGGGCAGAAGAGGAGAGAATAAAAAGAGGCGAGTCTCGCGCCCCTAGCCCTTGGAGGGGAGAAGGAGCAGCGCGGGCGCTCACGCGCGCCGAAGATTTAAGGTCTCTAGGTCTCAAACAGTCCTAGAGGTTGGCTGCCGCTGTCGCTTCACAATGAGCGTGTGAAGCGCTGGGGGAGGAGCCGAAGTAGCCGTGAGGAAGGAAGAACCGGCCGCCCCGCCCTCACCGGTGGCGTAGCGTCGGGATACCTCCGCAGTTGTGTGAGATGTCACGACGTAGCGTGCAGTTCTTCCGCCATTTAGGGGCCCGTGGGCGGAGTCTAAGTGCAAAGAAATCCCGGGTCTAAACAACGCGACTGCTCCTCTTAGTCGTATGGTAGGTTTCAGGAGAAGCTCCTGTTGACCTTGTCTGCTTCAAATAAAAGACTGATGGACATTAAAGTTACCGGTTTGAAACTCAGCATGTTGCAGATAAATCTATGCTAAATCCGAAATCATTGTAAGTTTCAATGGTTTAATACCTAATTGGTTTCTCCATGCCCTAGAACGAACCCTTAAACTATAGTAACAAAGAAACTGAAGGCCAAAGTACCTAAGGTCTAGTTGAAAATTCTTCATTCAACTCTGCAATGAAGCCAGCCTTCATTTATTCAAAATTAGTTGGGCATTAGGACATTAAGCTAGATGCAATGGACACAACCATAATTCAGCCTCTCCCTGCCCTCCCCAAGTTCCAGCTAGTGGTAGACTCAGACGATTAGATGAGATCTATTAGGTCACCATAGGGCACCATGAGAGCGAATAGGAGAGACACCGAACCCAGCGCTGGGTGATGAATTTCTAGGCGGGGGATGTGACAAATCAGGAAAACGTCAGCGTGCCAGAAGTATAAAAGTGGTTGGAAAAAGTGAGACTGGAGAGGTAAGGAACCTGGGACTCGATTTTTTTTAAAGATTTTATTTATTTCTTTGACACAGAGACAGATCACAAGTAGGCAGAGAGAGAGGGAGAAGCAGGCTCCCCGCTGAGCAGAGAGCCTGATGTGGGGCTCGATCCCAGGACCCCGAGATCATGACCTGAGCTGAAGGCAGAGGCTTAAACCACTGAGCCACCCAGGCGCCCCCTGGGACTTGATTTTAAAGAGACTTGGACATTGTCCTCAAAGTACTGGGGAGCCTTTCACAGAAAACAAAGAGGTGAGATTTGCATTTTAGGGAGTAGAGCAGCGATGAGTCTGTGTTCTCAATCACAGTGAAACTTCCAATATCTCAATCTCCCTTGGCTCCAGGCATTAGCATTGGAACCCTTCCCAAACCTCTACCACAAACCCGTACATACATAGCTAAAAGTTGGTCTTACTTTATAGGAAGTATTCCTTCAATCCTATCTCACTCCAGGCTTCTATGCTCCTTTTAGGCTTGGCCTGAAAATTTACCCCACCTCATTCTAAGAGCTCATTTAATTCTTCTTGCTTCTGTCAACTCCCTGTGGGTTGGGATCTCACTGTTACTGTTCCAGCAGTACCTAGCACAATGCGGGTAGTAAATTAAATCCTTGTGACAGGGGTGCCTGGGTGGCTCAGTGGTTTGGGCCTCTGCCTTAGGGTCAGGTCATGGTCTCAGGGTCTTGTGATCAAGCCCCGCATTAGGCTTTCTGCTCCGCGGGGTCCCTGCTCCCCCTACCCCCCACCTGCTTTTCTGCCTAGTTGTGATCACTCTCTGTGTCAAATAAATAATCTAAAATTTAAAAATAAAAAATAAATCATTGGGGCGCCTGGGTGGCTCAGTGGGTTAAGCCGCTGCCTTCGGCTCAGGTCATGATCTCAGGTTCCTGGGATCGAGTCCCGCATCGGGCTCTCTGCTCGGCAGGGAGCCTGCTTCCCTCTCTCTCTGCCTGCCTCTCTGCCTACTTGTGAATTCTGTCTGTCAAATAAATAAATAAAATCTTAAAAAAAAATAAATAAATAAAAAAATAAATCATTGTGAAGAGAATGGATTTGAGTGGTGTCTTAAAGATCATGTCTCCTGGATGCTTAAGTCACACAATTCAGCATTCTCCTGGGACTCCCGCCACCTGAGTGCCCTGCCACCTCATTCTGGGTGCTGCTTTCTCCCCCACTCACATTCTGCTCCGACCCTCAAATTCTAAGTTTTAGCCTCATGAAACTCCCACTTCCATGACACACTTTGCTCATTTTCAACTCTTCTTTTACAGGTGCTATTTCTTCACTTACCTTCTCATTCTTCAAGGTCAGGGGTCAGTCCTTTTGAACATCCTGTTACTGACTCACTCCTCCAGGCTCCCAGAACATTGGAATGGTTTTCCTCATATGAAGTCTGCGGTTGTAAAGGGCAGGGATTATATTTACCCATTTTCCTGTCCTTCATGTCTAGCTCAGTGGCTGGCATGCCGTCACTCAAATTGTTTGGTAAACGAATAGAATGTTGTCTTATATGCAATTCAGAAATGATATATATCACTGTGATTTGATATGGACTGATTTCCAGGATATATTATTAAGTGAAGAAAGCAAAGTTTATAGTCTAAACTATGCTACCTCTTGTTCAAGGAAGAAGGGAAAATAAGAAAACAAACGTATCTGCAAATTTTGGCAAAGAAAAACACAACAGTGGGTGCCTGGGTGGCTCAGTTGTTTCAAGTGCCTGCCTTTGGCTCAGGTTGTGATCCTAGGGTCCTGAGATGGAGCCCTGCATCAGACTCCTTGCTGATGGGAAACCTGCTTCTTCTCCTTTTACCCCTCTTCCTCCCACCCCCATCGCTCCTGCTCTCTCTCTCTCTCTCTCTCTCTCTCATAAATAAATAAATAAGTAAATAAAAATCTTTTTGAAAAAAGGAAAGAAAAACATAAGTGAAAACTCTCACTAATAAAATTGATTACCTATGAGGGTTGGGGTAAATGAAGTTTCCTTAGTTGTTGTTCTTGTTGTTCACATTCTTGTGGAAGTAAACAATAGAATACAGACATAAATAAATGAACCCAACTCAATTTTAGATGAATAAACTAACCCCCTGGAAGGGGGAAAAATAGAACCAATTCAAGTCACTTTTGGGTACCCTCTGTTCTAAAGAAAGAAGAACTGCAGGGGCGCCTGGGTGGCTCAGTGGGTTGAGGCCTCTGCCTTCAGCTCAGGTCATGATCTCAGGGTCCTGGGATCAGCCCTGCATGGGGTCTTTGCTCAGCAGGGAGCCCGCTTCGTTTCCTCTCTCTGTGCCTGCCTCTCTGCCTGCTTGTGATCTCTGTCTGTCAAATGAATAAATAAAATCTTAAAAAAAAAAAAAGAAGAAGAACTGCAAATCTTGAGTTCTTAGTAAGTTTGCAATAGTGGTAGTGGCGTGGCAATTCTGAAATTATTCTGAGTCTGTGGGGATTGAATGTGCGAGTAAACGTACAGATGTTGCTGGGAAGCAGGGAAGAACAAATACGGAATGAAAGAAGTGAGCAAGAACTTCGTGGGGCTGGACTGGAACAGGACATATCAGTGTTATGGGAAAGTTATGGGGGCCGGAAGATGATAGATTGATTGATCTACACATACCTAGCTCTCAGATCTTGGTTTCTAAATATTCCACAGAAAATTCCATGGTCCAGGGCCCCTTGAGGGCTGCTTCCTGATTCCAGCTTGGGCGGGAGCAAGGAAGCTACCAGGAGAGTTTGGAATATTTTGTTGTGCCAGAAAATAAGTGCTAAAAAAAAGTATTAGGGCATTAAAGAGACATGGGAGCCAGCTTAAAGAGGCCAACTCTGACATAATTGTGTATCACAATATGGAAGTATAATAATAGATTATAATCCATTGAACAAAAGAAGAATCCATGCACCCAAACTCTTAATAGGTATAAATATGCACACACACACACATAAAGAATAGAAACATACAGGAGAAATAACAGGACTGTATTCTTCAAAACTGCTCCAGGGCATGAAAGATGAAAGGTTGAGGAATTGCTCTAGGTTGAAGAAGGCTAAAGTCACTAACAATAAATGAACTTGATCCTGGCCTAGATCCAGAAATGAACTGCTATAAAAGACATTGATGGGGGGTGTGCCTGAGCATCCGACTCCCGGTTTCAGCTCAGGTCATGATTTCAGGGCCCACGTGGAGCTCCATGCTCAGTGAGAAGTCGGCTTCCCCCCCCCCCGCCCCCCCCCCCCTGCATGCACTCTGTCTAAAAAAAAAAAAAAAAACTTAAAAAAAAAAAAAAAAGACATTATGGGGGAAATTGACGAATTTGTAATATAGACTATAAAACATTCATGATAATTTCCTGAGTGTGATAACTACTTTTAGTTTTTAGTAAAAGTATATTCTTAGTAAATACACACTGAAGTATTACAGAGCAAGGGAATATGATAATCCAACCTGCTCTTTTTTTTCTTTAAGATTTTATTTATTTGACAGACAGCAATCAAAGTAGGCAGAGAGGAGGAAGCAGGCTCCCTGCAGAGCAGAGAGCCGGATGTGGGGCTCAATCCCAGGACCCTGGGCTCATGACCTGAGCTGAAGGCAGAGGCTTTAACCCACTGAGCCACCCAGACGCCCCTGTGGTGGTCTTTAAATGTCCCTGTAAGTTTGAAATTATTTTCAGAATAAGGAATTTACGTATAAATAAGTAAAAATTATTTGATACCCCTAAAGTAAGAGAATGGAGTAAGAGTAAACCACCTAATTATAGATACTGAACACGCACAAACTCATTGATAAATTAGGTGAGTAGTTTTCAGCTCTCCAGAGTTCCCTGAGGGAGCACCATAGTGTTCACTACATTTTATCCAAATGTATCTGAGTCATTCCAGTTTGAGGCTCAAATGATACTAGGACCCCATTCACGCAAAACAATAAGGCCATATTCCTCACTTAAGACATGTCAGAGAGTGTCTGGGACAACAAGATGGGACATTCCCTATAAAGGTCAACTCGACTGCATCTCCCCAACATGCATCCTACAAGGACAATTTTCCTTCATAAATGCCAAAACATTTTTCTTTTCCTTTTTAAATTTTAATTATTCATTTGAGAGAGCAAGAGAGCACAA